ACTTCTCGTGCGTCTTCCCGAGCCCCATCTCCTCCACAAGCTAGCGCTGTGCCCGGTGCCGCGCTCCCTCGTGAGGCGTCGCAAGAGCCTTCGCAAGCCGAGCTCTCTCAACCGCGTCGAGTATGTTCTATGCACTTGTGCGCGCATTCGTTGAACAAAACTGACTCGCATGCTTTCCAGACTTTGGTGCGGCGGGCTGCTCGCCCAAAGACGATCATTGGCATAGATGATACCACGATGGACATCGACGGAAACTCCGTCAGTGGAAGGGCATCCGAGGAGCCCTTGACCGCTGTGTCTTCGACCCGGCGGACCGATTCGATCATTGTGAGCGAACACCAGAGAGTCACATTTGTGAGATGTACTCACACATTCCTTGAAGCCACCCACTCCCTCACGTCCCTCTAGACTCAAACGCCGCGTTGGCACGCAAGCCCAAAGCGTCACTAGCGATCTCTTTCCGCCTTCAGCGGACGTCATGATTCCCGACGTGCAGGAACCGCCGCATAAGAAGTACAAGGCGCTGTTCGACGAGAGCGACCCAGACAAGGTTGCGCAGATGGATCTCGAGGAGTACGGCAGCCAGCATGTGAGCGGCGGGGAGAGCATGACCCAGATCGAGCCGTCTATGTTGCCCCCAGCGACGCAGAGCGGGACACAAGGGCGAAATGGCCGGATCGGAGGCGTGCGCAGTGAAGTGTCCGGAGGAGTGCCGTTGGAGGCGTTGATGGAAGAGGAAGAGGAGAGCACCCTGGCCACTACTCGACAGACGCAGACGCAGACACTCGCAGGCACCAAACGCAAGTCCCAGGCCGTGGATGCAGAAGGAGATGTGGAAATGAGCGAGGATGCGCCTCCGAGGACGAGGCGGCGAGTGGAAGGTGGGCCTGAGACATATCCGGGAGAATCTCAAGCACCGCGCAAGCCGCTCTCGCAAATCGTCACGCGCGTGGATATGGCGCAGTCGCAAAACCACGTCAAGGAGAAGCCGGCGAAGAAAAGCGGCGCGCCGCCTGGCGAGCCAGATAAGGACGCGGCGTTCCTCAAGGCGGTCGCATCGACGAAGCGCGGGAAGAAGTCCGAGGACGCGTTCGATCGCGAGTTCAACGCTCTGAGGATCTCGAAGCCGGACCTGGCGAAGGAGAAAGCCGCCGAAGAGTGGGCGGTGTTGGACGACTTTGGAGACGATTCGGACCTGAGGGGCAATTTCATGGTCGTGTTGGAGATGCCGGTGTACAAAGAGACCACGGACAGGGATCATCTGCGACGAGGGGAGGGGAGGCTGGAATGGCAGGGAAAGCCGGACTTCAAGAAGTTCAGGAGGGTGAGCGTCCTTCGTGTCCTCCGCTATGGCGCAGCTTATGCTGACACTTCATCAGAAAAACCCTGAACGACGACATCAACCCGTCGAGTTGGTGGTCGATGAAGAGCCTGATCTTGCTATTGAAACGCGTATGTGGCTTTGCCCCTCGCCTTGCCTACCTGTACTGATTCCAGGCTGTAGACACATGGAAGGAGAGATCGCAATCGCCATCATCACTGCGGCCCTTCTCGCAACGGAAAATTGAGTCGGAGACCGAGCAGAGTGCGACGCTACGCTCGACGCAGAAGAGTTCAAAGAGTCGTCGCCCGACGCTCGTGTCTGACGATGACGAAGAGGTCGCAACAACTTCTTCGAAACCCGCATCGAAACCGCCAAGCAGGTCGAAGAGTCAGGGGAAACGACCCCAGGCAAGCAAACCGCCCAGCGTCCAGGCCTCCAAGGGCAAGTCAACCCGCAAGACGTCACACAGACAGCAGCCTCTGTTTCTCGACTCTGACATTGAGGAGGAGAAAGAAGATGGAGGCGGCGGGCTCAATCTCGGCTCGGACCTGGACTTGGGATCTGATTTCGGGGAGGAGGATGACAGCATGCTAGGCACCTTACGGACCAGTACGGGAACCCAGTCGACGAGGACTGCGAAGAAGAGGTCCGCGTTAGGGATGATTGACGATGATGATTCGGACGACGGGTCGACGTTCAAAGCGTTTGGCGCGAGGACGCGGTCGAAGAGGCGGTAGCAGGGACTTGGATGGTTTGCCTCGTACTTTAGGTCGTTTAATGGATCATGTCTTGAGTTTTGTTTACGCGATATTTGCAGCTATACTGTTTCGTCCGCTGTCCCTTAGCTACTAAGTCAATCCTCTCAAGAATTCGAACACGATGAGTGACTTGCATTGAAACGTACTTGACTCTTAGTGCCAGTTGGAGCTCGGGCGATCCTTGTCTAGTATGAGCCTATGCATACCTCTCTAACCATTGAAGCACATTCATGCCCTGCTCCTCAGTTGGCTACCTTCTCATACCTGAATACGTACATATCTCTCTCACTCTCTCAAGTCTCGATAGCCACAGGGTGTTAGGTCCACGTGATCCGAATTTACGAGGGATTTATGGGCGTCTGTTTGGAAAGCTGCTAATCGACGCGAGGGTCTCTCCTCGTCCACCACCTCCTCCCCCTCCCCCTCCTCCCTCCCTTTCTCTCTCTTTTTCGGCTTTCTTACGACTTGGTTTGCGTGCTAGTGGCGCCTGGAGAGAGCGTAAACTACTTGCCCAGTATGGCAATTGCTATACGCAGACGGACTGTTCTTCGTATCCTAGCACTCGCTGGCTTCGCTTTCCTGGTCAAGCTCCTCGTCTCTTCCCCGGCCTCGTCGCGGTCCGTCAGCGCCTTCTATAGTTCATCCGACCCCAAGGAGATTCGCAAGCAAAATGTTCTGGACATAGTTACGGGCGCGGACAAGCAGCTGGACGCACGCAAGTATGAGTTCCTCCAGGCCCGCTTGGGCAGGGATGAGCGTCCAGACCTTTTCACCGACATTATCAATGACGGTGTACAGGATTACTGGGAGCGGTTTCAGAAGCCATAGTATGTTCTCTTTTGCCCTCCTGTGTGCTCTCGTACTGATTGTCCGCAGTATTCTTGATCCCGCTACATCCCACATGGACGAACAGTCCGTGCTCTCATCCATAGAGCAGCTTCTCAGTCTCAACGGTTGGGTCGCCGCAATGTGCCCCACGTTGACTCGCCCGTTCGGCCAGAACAAGTACGAAGATGCCTATGAAGACCTTGCGCGCCAGAATCATCTGTACTACGTTGGGATGGTCATCCACTCTGCCGACCACTTTCTTGTCGACCAACTTGCTGTCATCGTTCAGCTCGCGAAGCGGCTCGGGCCCTCGAATATCTTTGTCTCTATGCTCGACTACTCTTCCTCAGACTCCACCGAAACCCTCACCGACCTCTGCGAGGCTGTCCTCACCCTCCTTGGCGTCCCGTTCCGCATCAGGCGCGTGCCTGGGATGACAGAAGACCCTTCGGCCGCATACTACCCGCTGGAGGAGGCTTATACCCGCAACCTCGTGCTCGAGCCGCTTCACGAACTCTACGAACGCCGCAATATCAAATTCCACCGCGTCATCTGGCTCAAGGGCTTCACTTGTCCTAATGATATCCTCGAGACTATCAAGGTCAGCATCGTGAACGAGGCCGCAATGGTTTGCGGCATGGATTGGGCAGAACATAACGGATTCTTCATTTTCTCTGACCGGTGAGTACCCGGACCATGGCTAGCGTCGTGATACTTGAGCAAGCGTGCGGGCCATGATAGCCGTAGTTCACGGCATACATGCCCGCTACTCATGATACTCTGTGGTACCTCCAAATGAGGCAGCGTACTAATACCGCTCTCGTAGATGGCGCACCCGCGACATAAATGGGGACCAGTTCCGGCAATCGAAGTCGTCGGCCATATCTGAGTCGTCACTCACCTCTGTGCCTCCTCGCGACACGACGAGCGCGCAACGCTATATCCAACATCTACCGTTCCAAGTCTTTTGCTGCGAGTCCGGTACACACGTCGTCGATCCTGCGCAATCCTATTACGCCGGTATCTCCTACCGCGCCGGGAATGACTACTTCAATACCACCGCCAACCACGCCGACATTCCTGAGCGGGACCCGGATGCACCGTGCCTGGACAGCACACAAGCGTGGTTCTGTCGCGACCTCTGGGTTTGGAAGGCGAAGGAAGGCATGAAGGCCTTCGAGCCCGATGTCGCTCCCGTCGCCGCCGCCGAGGCGCCAAAACGCCGAAAACGCGCCCCAGTAGAACCTGAAGAGCTCGCGCCTCGGCAAGCAGACAAGCCACAAGACGACGCGGACGCGAACGCAGGCTCGGACTACGACGCGTCGGATTTGCCCGTCTCCGATCCGCCCGAAGAGTACGAGGACGCAGACTCGCAGCGGCTGACGATCCCGAACGCGGTGTTCCTCGCCGCGCGCATTCTCGTGAACCCGCGGTGCGTGACGACGTACGCGGGCGTGTCGCATACGCAGTTGGCGCTGGACCTGTTCGGGCCTCCCGATCGGGAAGAGGAGCGGGAGGTGGCGAGGCAGGATGTGCTGGACGAGTGGGAGGGCGCGCCGGACAACTTCGTCTGCCAGGAGCAGAGGTACGTCGATCGCGGATCTTTGCGGCGAGACATTCCTTTGACATGTTGGGTCATCAATTTTGCAGGACGACGGGGGGCAGGAGAGCTGCGAAAACTCAGCGACGGATGTCCTTCTCCATTCATCGCGAGCTGGAGGAGACGTTGGCGTCATGAGAGGACTCCGCGATTGGTCTGATAGATTTTACTCTAGTACAGGGTTCCATACGGGACTACGTATTGCTCTACTAATATATGGTGCGAGAGCACCACGCGATGAATAACACGCAGCGACTGGCCATTCTCCCATTTTCGCTGGTGGTGAGTCTCTGCACGGTAGGGTTGCATACATACATCAGGTTCTGCGGTGATTCCAACTGCCTCACAGTGAACATCACTTCCCTCGCGGCCCTAACCGCTCTCCATTTCATCATTGCTCCTACAGTTCTGCGTTATCGCGGACACAGCGGTAGGCCTGCCGCCTGGGGGTTACAAGCACAATCTGATGCGAAACAAAAAGGCAAAAGAGCGACCAACCTGGGATTCGAACCCAGAATCTTCAGCTATTCAGGTATCGCCGGAAACTGACGCCTTAACCATTAGGCCAGTCGGCCACACTTGCAGTTGCTTGTGTGGGTTGACTCATGTGCTCCACTGGAGAGGCACCACCTATTTGTGTCAATGTGTCGCGCAAGCATGTACATACAATACATACTGTATATAGTATCATGAACGTCTTTACAGGACTACTACAAGCTATCTTGCAAGCGAAGCTGCCGCTGTTGCGACAAACCTTTCCAAGTTTGAAAGCAAAGGGCATCAATATGCATACGGCAACTGTGAGGCCTGATCTGCGTAACAGACTGCGTAACGCTTGTACCCCGGTTTCCCCAGTCTCCTACCCACCACTGCTTCGAGGTGAGGGGGTGATTTCTCGTAGATGGAGTTGAAGTCAAAATGTGTACACAATAGTCAGTGCTTAATACTATAGTCATGACACATGTCTCATAAGTTGAATGTGTTCCCCCTCACCTCTCAGCAGCGGCTGGCACCAAACACCTGTAAATAACGGCCGTCGGCGAGGAGGCGCCCACAACTGCCCCCATTTGGCAGGCGGCGAAACTCAGGGCGCTAAGCAATTACCGGGAATTCTTCTGCCACAGGCAGGTCGCGACGTGCTCTGGTACGTAGGATGATCTGTAACAAACTGGCCTATAGTGCACAAAACAGAAGCAGTCAGAACATTGAATGCTTCTGGGCATAGTAGAGCCTGTTTACATGTCCGGTTTGATAACGCGACACTGCGGTGAAGTCCAAACAGCATGAATCACATGACGGAAGAATAATTGGAGGCTTATGTTTCGGTTTCTGTGGTTTCGGTGTCACTTCCCAAAAGAGGAGAGCCTCAATATATATTTTGCTTATTCTGATCTACAATGAACACTCCTTTGACCCCTGATATTACGCAACTATCAGGCCAGAGCACGTCGCGACCTGCCTGTGGCAGAAGAATTCCCGGTAATTGCTTAGTGCCCTGAGTTTCGCTGCCTGCCAAATGGGGAAAGTTGTGGGCGCCTCCTCGCCAACAGCCGTTATTTACAGGTATTTGGTGCCAGCCACTGCTGAGAGGTGAGGGGGGTGTGCAAGTTCAAGGATAAAGCACATGATATGATGATAGTATTAAGCGCTGACTATTGTGTACAAGTTTTGACTTCAACTCCATCTACAAGAAATCGCCCCCTCACCTCGGAGCAGTGGTGGGTAGGAGACTGCGGTTTCCCACGAAAACAGCTATGAGCTATCAGCAGAATCGTGGCCTGACCAGCTGTGCGTGCTTAGGACCTACGCCGCCTTCACGCTCCGAGCCACTCAGTGACAATTGAGACTAATGACAACTTCAAACGGCTCAGAGTTGGTCGAGCCATCGGACAGCCTACAGGAGTCGTCCCACGCCCACTGTGTGCGCGGCCTCTTCCACGATGCCCCTCAGATACACACCCATGCGCACTGCAAGAATTGCTTTCGTATGCCCAGGTGCTCGGGCAGGAGCTCCATAGAGTTGCTGTGATGCAGCGCCTGCAGTTTAGCAGCCTACTGCATATGTACATCATTGCTGCTACCTCCGCAAGATCGCTGCAGGCAAAGCCGAGCCCGACACTGTTGCGTTGCTATACATCGAAATGCGCTATCTCAACGACCCCAAGCTAGTGCCCCATAGGCAGTTTGAGCTGTCCGAGGCTCGCTTCGTAACTCCCGCAGATGCCAAGTGGACTGGCATGTGCGCCATCGCATCACACTACTAGTACCGCACAGCCGCAGTGGCCATGGGTAAGCGGGAGATGCCGCATAACTACTGGGGCACTGGAGGCTACCTGCTCTCCGTCTGCTTCCGCAAGGGTCCTGTGGACCTGGGGGGGAACTACGTTCTGTTCTGGAAGCACTTCGGCATCGACCAAGAGAGGGCGCACACGTGGCCCGCATGCCTCCACCCCTTGGACCAACTCAAGGAGAACGTGCGGGAGGGCAGGAAGATCCGATTCTGTTGTGGGAAGATAGAGGGCCTTCCAATGTACTGTTGTGGCGGATGGACCCATGAGGTCCAAAGTGTGAGTATCTCAGCACCTATGCGCGTTGTTTCAAGACTGAATGTCCATCCCGTATAGCAATCTATGAAAGACTGATGAACCCCAACCTCACGGTAGTCCCAAACATCCACAAAGATTCGATCGTCTTGGACATCAAGATCCAACTCGTCAACCAGTACATACAGTATCTTGCGATGACAGCGATGCAGATCCGACGATGTTGCTTCCCGATCACGTGTACTCCTGGATCCCAGGTCACTTCGACCTGCACATCTTTCTCTTGGAGCAACTGGTCTGTGTACATCAGCAGCTTGGCTGGTACGTCTTTCCATTCTCTGCACAGGCCAAGTTTCAGCTGACCTCGACAAAACTCCGACAGTGGTGATTTCCCCTGATGTGCAGTCGCCAGCTTCGGGAACGCGGAAACGGTACTGATCTGTATGTACATACAATGTGAGCTGAAAGAATTTCTCCCGTACCGTCCCCATCGTTTCCTGGCATCTGGACTGGACCATATGTAGACTTGCCAGAATGCACCGCAGGCCGGCTTGCAGGCATTCAGAAGTCTCCGTCCGACAGTTGCAACAGTCCCATAGTTCCTGTGCATCTCTCTTGCTTGTTGACCGCCTATCTTCCTGTCGGGGCGTTCTGCTCTTTTGAAGGCATTACGCCACTACGCGGACACGGCGTCCGCTTGACCTTCTGTATGTCACTGCCATTGCACAGAGGTTATGGTTTGGAGATGTTTGTCTCCGTGGGCGCATCTCTAGCGCGCCATTGGACGAGCCCCTCAATATTAATGCAAGAGCGACCTCTGAAAGAACTGCAGCATTAGTGATCGGGCACAGACAGCGTGTAATCGATGAAAGTCCGACTTACACGAACGCGCGCTGAAAGTGGGCACGCTCGATGGCAAAGCATGGGCGAGCTACTTTTCACATCTCCTATGCACAATTACCGCAAGCACGAAAGTACAAGATGTCTACCGTAACGCCTAGGTGCTACAACACCCACTCCAACAAACCCATGATGCCTATCTACTCCTCTGCTTCTTCTTCGCAGGCCCCCCATTTTCCGTCGCACCAGGCGTATTACGCCCACTCGACGGCGCCGAGCCATCCGCGCCCGCCAACTTCCGCCCTTGCTTCTTCTGTATCCGCAGCAGCGCCCGCTTCGTCTCCCCATCAGGGAACGTCGACAGGTCGTAGTAATTCGACGCATACTCCAGCAACCTGGGAACAAGGTCATATCAGCGACGTCCGTTCACGACGACTGCACTAGAAAGGAAGACGCACCACTCAGGCTTGACCTCCGACACCGTCCGGATGTACGGCTTCGTCGTCAGCACGAACTCGTTGAAGATCACCCATTCTGGGCTCGTGTCCAGGCCACAGCTCGGGTGCAGCGACACCACCTGGTTGTCCTTCACAGTCAAGTACGCGCTCTTCTCGCCCTCCTTGTGTGCCACCTGCATGAAGAATCCACACACGAGCGCCTTGCGGATGTTCTGGAACAGCTTCCGCTCGTCGTCCGTCGTCACGAGGTCGATCTCGTACCGCTCCATAGTGCGCAAAAGCTGGGAACGGACGTTCTCCGCTTGCTGCAGCGCACGTCCGGAGAGGTAATTGTTCCAGCACCAGTTCTTGTCGTGTTTGTCTGCGATACAGGTAGAGTTGAGCATCGGGCATACCGATGATAACTATAGAGAATACATACTGTTGACGTAGTGGTTGTAAACATTCATCAGCGTGAGATGGTCGCCGTCTGGGATAGTAAGCATTGCCTTCGCTTGGTCCGCCTCCTTCCGCTGGCTAGGTGGCCTCAACCACACATTCGGGACTGTAAATACAGTGTCAGTCGCTACATACCGTCGATAGATGTGTGTATCTTACCAGACAGCATCGCAACGATCGTCAAGATCTCGTTACTGCAGTTGAACTCTGGGCTCACGATGAGCATCTTCGCCATCTACACACAGCACGTCAACAACCTTGCTACGGGCGCCCTCCATCCGACAAAGTGACGTACCTGCGGGTCAAGTGGGAAGTCCGCCATGATTGAGCCCAGCGGCGTCAGCTTTCCATCGTCGTCCAACGCCGCCAGGTAGTTCAACAGCTCGAGCGCCCGCATCAGGGTCTCTGGAGCCGGCGCGTCCACATAGTCAAAGTGCACCAAGTCGTTGATGCCAAGCTTCGCGAGCTCGAGCACCGTGTTCGCGAGGTTGCTCCGCAGGATTTCCGGGTGTGTCTGCTCCTCGAGCTCCGTCATGAAGTCCTTCTCCGTGTACAGCCGGAAGCACTTGCCCGGGCGCGTGCGGCCTGCACGTCCCGCGCGCTGCTGCGCGGACGCTTTGGAGATCGGCGAGACAAGGAGAGATTCGACACGGATACGCGGGTTGTAGACCTTCTGCTTGGAGAAACCCGGGTCGACGACATAGACGATACCGTCGATCGTGAGTGACGTTTCTGCGATGTTCGTAGAGACGACGACTTTGCGACCGGGAGGACCACCGGGAACACGAGGCGGCGGCGGAGGGTCGAAGATCCGTTGCTGCTGTTGTGGAGGGAGGGAAGAGTACAGTGGGATGCACACAAGAGGACCAACGCTGTCCGGATACTGGTTGAGAAGATCGTCCGCCTCTGCCTTGATCTTCCGACACGCGTCTTCAATCTCCTCCTCACCAGTCAAGAACAGCAAAATGTCTCCCGGGTCCTCCGCACGATGAATCATCAAGACCGTCCGAATCGCCGCCTCCACGTAGTCAGGCTCCGGTTCCTGCGTGTAGAACACCTCCACGGGGTGTGTCCTACCCGGTACCTTGAAGAGCGGCGCCGGGTTAGCGGGACCGGTCAGGCTGAAGTACTTCTGGAACTTCTGCGCGTCGAGCGTTGCGGACATGACCACCAGCTTCAGGTCCGATCGTCGCTTCGCAATGTCCTTCAGGAGACCCATGAGTATATCGGTGGCAAGGGTGCGTTCGTGCGCCTCGTCGAGGATGATCGTGGAATAGCGGCTGAGCTCGGGGTCAT